TTACTTTTAAATGCAGCTTCTGTTGATTTACCCTCCTCACTCCACTGAGGAGGGTGTTGTGTTCTGTTGTGAATCTCTGCAGGAACAGTGAGGTACAGTCAAACTTCTGCTGTAATGTCACTCAAGGGACTTTCAAACAGTGCTCACTTAACAACACGATCCCTACTTGTATTGACTCTGTTTCCACATATTCTAAGAGTGAATAAAGTCAACTGTATAGCAGTACAGATTAACACTCTGCATTTGTATGTGTTGCAGCACTGATGTTATGAGTCAGTTTTGTCCAGTTATTGTTGTCTCCTATCGATTTGCATGTTTGGCCCATAGATGAACTATTTGACTCAGGAGGAGAAGGAGGCCGGGACAAAAATATACACAGCACACAGTCTGCTTTTGTCTACATTGATTTCTTGAAAACATACAATTATAATTCCAGCACTGTGTGGTCTTCTATTGACCACCTAGAAAATCAACAATTCTTAACTTGCAATATCCTTGGCTCAAGGAATTTTCACTGAGAAGTATATTTCTGTTTAATCTGCACCAAATCTGTTCTTCTTTTGAAGTAGATTCCTCTCATCACGGTTATCTGTATTTGTAGAGAGAATAGCAGAGCTTGCGAAACAAAATAAAGAGCTGTGTGATGAGAAATGGAAGTACTGCTGTTTTTTGTGTTAAAAGTATGAAAACATCTAACAATGTGGTTTTACAGTTATAAGAACACATATTACACCTGTTCTTCTGTTTTTTTAGTGGAGTCTTTTTTTCATTCTCAAAAAATGCAGCTGCTGTTGATTTACACAGTGAGGTTCAGTAAAGCCTTTACTGTGATGTCACTCAAGGGACTTTCAAACAGTGCTCACTTAACAACACGATCCCTACTTGTACTGACTCTGTCTCCAAGCATTCAAACTGTAAATAGTCAATTTGATAGTAATAAAGATTAACACTTTGCATATGTATGCATTTGTATGTGCTACAGCACTGATATTATGAATCCAGTTGTCCAGTAACTGTTGTGTCCTATCAATTTGCATGTTTAGCCCATAGTGTACTATTTGACTCAGGAAGAAAAGGAGGTCTGGAGAAAAATATACATGTTAAACAGTCTGCTTTTATCTACTTTTATTTCTTGAACACATACAATTATAATTCCAACACTGTGTGGTCTTCTATTGACCACCTAGAAAATCAACACTTCTTAACTTGCAATATCCCTGGCTCAAGGAATTTTCAATGAGAAGTATATTTCCGTTTATTTTGCACCAAATCTGTTCTTGTTTTGATGTAGTTTCCTCTCATCACAGTTTTATCACTGATTGGTGTGAATAAAGCAGCAGTCAGGATATTGCTCAGTATCTCCATATTGAGGCCTCCCCAAGGAAGAACAGTACCCGACACTCCACCACTCTCTCTGTCTCCAGTTCACAGACGAGGACAAGTGTCTTGACAATGGGCTTTCTGCTGTTGTCCTGTTATCCCTGAATAGCCTCTGTGGGTCTATATAACAAGTTAAACATACAGACATATACAAGTTGTATAGAAAGTACAGTTGTATGTGAACGTTTGGGTATCCCTGGTCTGACTGAATGTTTCACTGAATCTCTAGGTGAAAAGAAGTTAACCCTATCTCTTACTGTACTTAAACATGTCATGTTTTTGCACATTTTAATGCACAATTACTGGTTATGTGCTGAATTTAACAGACTGGAAAAAAACAAAACAGTGAATGTGGCAGGTGCAAAGTTCAGGCGTCCTTTCAGTTGATTCATTAATACTTTTTTAAGGAATAAAACTTGATTGACTTATTAGGCCTTATATTAAGCCAGGTGAAGACAGTTCCAGTTCAGTAAATACTTTGACCCTTCTTTCCTCTCGGGATGTTGTGTCTACTCTCAACAACATGGGCTCGTCTGAGCAGCTGACTGAGGACTTGAAAATAAAGATAATTGACTCTTACAAAGCAAATGTGGAAAATATGTCATGTTTAAGTTTGACCCTGCAGAGGTTGTTATCTTCTTTTCACTTAGAGATTCTGTGAAACATGACTTTTGACCAGTGGTTCAAAAATGTTTGCATACAACTGTATATATTAATAAGTCTGAAAAGGTGGATTAAATCCTTTTGATATTTCTTTTTCCTCTCAGAGGTTCAGCACCTGGTTCTGTTTGATAACTTCATATTCAGATAAATCACGTCTTTAAACAATAACTAAATGCGGGTGCTCTACTCTCTTGAGTTATTTAAGGCCTGTAAACCATCCTGTTATAACCTGTAAATGTCTATTTGCAGAGATCAAAGAAGATTTGAGAAAGAAGTTTCAGAAGCTCTGTAATTACAGAAATCTTTGCTAGGAGATGTTTACAGAATTCTTTCTTCTCAGATTATACTATCAAAGCCAATTATTTGCCCTCATGCGTGCACATGTCCCTAGTTTCTGCTTGACTCTCTCTTCTTTCACTGCAGAGAGAGTCAACTGTGTTTTTGGATTGATTTTGTTAAAATGTTCATGGAATCAGGACTAAATTATTTCACAAAAAGATCTCTTTTCTGAGTTACTACAGGATTTCAGCTTTCTTTCATCTGTCTAGATACAGTATAACAAGTTTCTCATTCTGGGAATTGTAAACCTCTTAAAAGATATTGTAGGTTTTTATTTCTACTTCATAATATACTGTAGGAAGAACCAGTCATATGTGTTCATGTACTGTGTGCATTAACAGTGCTTTTATCTCTTTTTAAATATTGCAGTGAGACGGGCCATGGGAGGTAATTTTTTTGTTGTTATCACCAGAGTTGTTTGTTTTAATTATAATGTTTAAAATTTCATAATTATTTTCATATTTCTGAATTGATACTGAATTTTATTCATTGAACAACAATCTGGATAATATTGTTAATATTGATAGAAGAGGTATTTATTAACTGATGTGAAAGAACTTACAATGTTTAGATGTTTGTGGAACACAAACAAAGCATCTGGTATAACAAATAGCTAAATTTATTTAAGATTACAAGATTTTCTAGTACACTTGAAAATGATTAAATGTAGGTCAAAGTGAAAGACAATAGTTTGTATTGTCCAGTTTTAACAAAGGCTTATGGGTGAATCCTACACCCTTTTACTGTGGTTTACAAGGCTACATGAATATTGGTCTCGGTGAATCCTGATTGTACTACCAGTTCCCAAGCCTAAGGCAAGATAAGTTAGGGTGTGGATCACTATGCTGTACAGTCCCTCCACAGCATGCTGGTGAAAGCAGTGTGATCAGTTCAGAATTCATTCTGAAAACCCTGGCAAATCTAGACGAGAAACTAGAAAGATACAGACTTAAGTGAGGGATGATAATCCATTTTAGTCTTTTTTTATTAAATCTAAATTGCCACATTTAGCAAACTGTTTTTTGACTTCTTATTTTGTAATTAATACTATTCAAACAGTTTCTTGTGGAGATTCTTTTACATTGTGTGTAATGAAAAGTGGAAGCTTGCGGAGTATTAAAAAAGAAACTAAAAAGTTAATGTTTACACTACAGAAAACCACTATTGGTGAGTTAATTATGTGGTTAATAATAATAGACATTTGGGTTTATTATATTTCGTTAGACTACGTCAGTCTGAATTCTGTTTTCACCATCAGTCAATGTATAATATAGTAAAGAACTTGTACAGTTTCACATAATTATCAGAATGCACTTTCAGTATGCAAATCACATACACAGATCATTAAATATGACTTGTTTTTTTTGTTTCTAAAACCAGAAAGTGTTATCAGGTGAAATCTTTATCCGTGGTTCTACATTCTCTCTTTGTTCTTCTTTTCCCACAGTTTACGTGACCCTGGATAAGGACACAATGAACCCCTACCTGAGAGTGTCAGAAGATGGCAGATCAGTGTGGTGGACAGATCAGCGCCAGAATCTCCCTGACAATCCTGAGCGGTTTGATGAATACCCCTGTGTGCTGGGCAACAGGTTACCAGCAGGGAGGAGGCGTGGGTGTTACTGGGAGGTGGAGGTTGGAAACAAGAAGTCCTGGGAGCTGGGAGTGGCCCGAGACATAGTGAACAGGAAGGGGCAACTGTGTTTGAGCCCTGCAGCTGGGTTTTGGGTCCTGAGTCTTTGGGATGGGAAGCTGACGGCCCTGACTGACCCAGATACAACCCCACTGGTCACAGACATTCTCACAAGAGTGGGGATCTGTATAGACTATGAGGAAAAGAAAGTTTCCTTCTACAATGCTGTAGGTGGCGCCGACATCTATACTTTTGATGAAAAAATAGACAGGAATGTTCGCCCGTTCTTCTCTCCTGGCAATAACGAAAAGGATCCCCTTTGCATTATATAGTTTTCAAGGAAATGAATCTACTGCAGGGAAAATGAATACAGCATCTTCCCTAGGAATACTGACATACTGTGCCCCCCAGAATTATCCACACTCCTGGTGAAACAGATAGATATACTGTAACAGAATGAGTTATTGTCATCCAGATTGCAATATGTGTTTAAAATACTTCTATATTGGATATAGTTATAACACAATTTCAAAGAGATAAGTCATGTGTCATAAATGAATTCCTCACAAAACACAATGCTCACACCTCTTTAATCACACCTCAAATTATTCATTTAAAGTTCAACAGAAACAAATCTTGAATAACATTCTGCTCTATGGATGTGCAGTAGAAGTCCTGAGGAATATATAGAGACCCTCAAAGATTACCCTGGTCCTGGGGTGTAAAAGGAGGAAACACAGAGCAGACATTCAGTAGTAGCGGCATCATCATGGTCGATAATAATTTGGGGAATGGCTATAAAAGAATCAACAGACAGCTATCACTTTCCCCTGTAAAGTAAATCATGAAGAGACTTAAAACTACTCCTATACTGGCCACCCTGCCAGAAGAGGACACAAATGTATCTTATGAGACAAATGATACAGTAGAAAACTGAATGTCCTAAGGAGCAAGACCCAGGCTACCAGACCAGAGATCTTTCATGTTCATAGCACAATTAAACCAGAGACCAGTGTGCAAACTCACCTTTTACTCCACAATGCACCTGGGAGCAGGATTGGTCCTTCTTTGGGTCCCTAGGCAAGATCTTGGAAAGGGGCCCTTCAGATCACAATTTGCATACACTGCTATTATCAGCTCCTACTCCAACCTTATTTTACTATAAAAACAATTAAATAAATGGGGTCTGAATTATACAACCAGAAAACTTTTATTAACCAGCTTTGAAGAACACATAATAAATAACTTCCAATCAAGAACAAGAAGAACACATTTTACAAAGATGTATTTTAACATTGTATTTTAAATAGAAACATCAATAACAATAAACAGGATTTGTGTTACTGAAAGACTATTGCAAATCCTTACTTGCAAATTACTGCACTGACATCTTTGCAGGAAGGAATTGTAGACATGTGAAATGAAGTAAGAAAAAATAAGAGCACTCGATAACAAGGCAGGTGAGATCAGTAAGGCTGAGCAGATGGGAAAATTCGATACAAATGTTCTATAAATTAGTTCACCTAGATTTTCAGGAAGCAAAATTATCATCGATTACTCAATATCTTCATTTGAT